ATGGATTTGGCTTCCATATGGAAGCAACTAACAACGTCTCGACTTCCCTGGGCCTGGAAATTTAGGAGATGAAAACCTGCTCTCACTATAAACCATTACAATTTCAAAAAGAAAATTGCAGTGACATAATTATATTGGCTCTTGTCAGGAGGCCAGGTCTCACAATATCTAGTTTTAAAAGATTTTTTTGGGAAAATTTAGTGTATTCTAATGATATAATTTGGTGCTCACCTGTTGTACTAAAATATTCTGAATATGGAATTATTGCTGTGCCCAAGGAATACATGTTCATTGTAGACAAATGAAAAATGCAGATACACAGAAAAAAAATTTAAGCCACCTATACTCCCATCATCCAAAAATAATGTGCTAGCATTTTGATGCCCATTTTAGATTTTTAAAAATGCAAATCACATCGATACATTTTTGCAGTAAAAGAAGGACCTTGACCTGTGTTATTTCGTATTCTGCTCCCCCACCCCCACCCCCATGAAGAACAAACACTCTCAGTACCTAAATATACTTCAACCGCCTCATTTTAAAGGACGCGGCGAGGAATTCCATCGAGCAAATGGGCGGTGACTTATGTAATTATGTTCCTATTTTAGGACTTTTACGTTGGACACGGAGAGATCGTGCGGCAGAAGCTGCGGTAAAACTAGAAAGGATGGGAGGTCGTCCGACAGCTAGGTGGCTGGGCAAGGTTTTAAACACACTAAAACGGAGGAAAGAGGGTCAGCAGGGCTGCGGGGGGCAAAGGGCCTGTGGGAATGGATTTGGGAGCCACGCGAGGCAGAGGGCGGTGGTATCCAAGTGCAAAGGGCACCGAATGCGTGGAACTTGAGACCCACCCTCCTGGAGCTTGACCGCCCCCTCCCTCCAGCCCCGCGGGGGCGCGCGGTTCAGGCCCGCAAGCTGGTGCGTCGCCTCTCCTTCCCAACAGAGGGCGCTGTGTCCTTAGCAGTTCGCGGTGGGCGGCTCCCAGCTGCCAGCCAGATGTGGGAAGCTGGATGACTAGGAGGCGCGAAGGCTGGCGGGGAGAGGTGGGGAGGTGGGGGGGTCGAAGAAGGGACGGGAGGGGGCAAGGGTGGTGGCAGAACACACCGTCATCGCTGCTCTGTAGACTCCTGGATTACCTTTCCTCGTGGGGCAAAAGAGAGGGACCTCCCACCCAGAGGGGGCGCCGTTTTCTGATTCCCACAAAAGTTGCAGTATCGGCTGGCAGCCGCCCTGGGGCTGTATCAGTAAGACAGAGATGGTTACACCTGGAGGGTCGCGCAGGCCAGGAAAGACTCGGCAGTCTGTTGGCTGGAAAGAGAGCCGGCCTTGAGGACCTGTAACTTTTTGAGTATCCAGTTCTTGACCCCAGACCTGCAACATCCACACCCAACACACACACACACACACACACACACACACACCCTGTGCTCTTTCTGCTCCTGGTGCAATGAGCATTCGAGGAGTGAGAAACTGAAACACAGCAGGAGGAGCCCTGAGTAGGGAGACCTAGAGCCCTCTCCAACATATTGTCTGGAGCGAGTAGTTGGGCTCCAGGACCACAGTCTGAAGCTCCAATGAAGGACCCAGGGCCAGGGAGCCTGCCTCCTTGACCTGCTTGATGTCTCCCACACCCCCCACCCCATCC